ATTGCCAAAGGAGAGGCACAGAAAATCAAAGGATGTCCAGGAAGCAAAACTGAAAGTAAGGCAAACAATCACCAGATGCTCAACCAATCTGAACTCAGCTTTAAATTTGTGATGAGAAAAAAAAAATGATCCTATATCAATTGATGCCAAACTACCAAACTAACCCTCACACTGTGGACAGGTGTGTTTTCCAAAATACCACCTACACCCACCACTCCCTTGCTCCCCATATCTATTGCCGAACTCCCCTACCTGGTTTTCAAGGGGCTCTGAATTAAGGCACAATTAATGACCCAACTTTCTCTTAAGTCCCAGTGTTCTCACCCCACTACCTTTATCATTGTGCCCTTGCTTGTACCACTCCCTCCCTCCAGCATGGTATCCATTCATTAATTAAGCAACCCAACGTTATTTATTGGGCACTAACTAAGTCATGCCCTGGGCAAGGAGCCTTGTTGGAATACAAGGAAATAAGCTATCATTCTTACTACAAAGGGACTTCTAAAAGGAAAAGTAATATTCTGGGTTAGGGTGATCCATATCAAACTGTGTTTAACAAACAGTAAGTGGAGAATTCTAATCAAAACTAATGTGACCTAAAGGAAATAAAGAAATGTGTTTAGGGAGTTTTGTTTGGGTCAAATTATTAACAGTTCTTGAAGTAAATTCTATTTATCTTTCAACATTCAATTCAAATGCCAACTCTATTCCAGTCACTTCAGAAATGTACTTTCTTCAAAAAGAATTCTTTAAAACCCCATCAAAAGTGACATCTCTTTTTTTTCCAATCTCTTAAATATTAAATTATGGCCTATACTACATGTGTGTCAGTAAATTTTAATGCTCCCTTGCATTTTGTGCCTCAAACATCTTATTTTTCAAGACAGCACTTTTTTTTTTAATTTTCACCTAAGGATATTTTTCCCATTGATTTTTTTTTTAAGAGAGTAGAAGCAGAGGAGAGGGTGGGGAGAGAGACATGGTTGCCTCCTGCACATGCCCTGACTGGGTCTAAGACTCAAACCTGCAACCCAGGTACGTGCCCTTGACCAGGAATCAAACTCACCACCCTTTGGTATGCAGACTGACGCTCTAACCACTTAACCACACTGGCCATGGCCAGACAGCATTTTGTTGTTGTTGTTGTTATCAATTTCATTGACATAAACTTTACATACTCCTGGCAGGGTAGCTCAGCTTAGTTGGTTAGAGCGCCATCCTGATATGCCATGGCTTCAGGTTCCATAGCCAGTGAGGGCACATACAGTATCAATCATTTAATGCATACATACAAGTGGAATAACAAATACATGTTTCTCTCAATCTCCCTCTTCCTTCTTCTTTCTCTGAAATGGATTTAAAAAAAGAAGAAATAAACTGTTGAAACGTAAACCCTACAAAGTAAATAATTACACAAGGATAACAAATTGTGACTTTAAAGTTGCCAGTGGGGTCTCCTGCTACACATGAAAATTAATTTTCTTGCTCTATAGTCACACCATATGTAATAAACGTAATAAAATGCCAAAAGGCTTTACTCGTTTTAGAGAAGAGATCCATCTGAGCTAGTAAAAGATCCGAATTTATGGAATATTTGAAAAGAACTAAAACCAGTTCATTTTAAATGCATACAGTCTCACCAACTGTGGGAAAAGTGCAAACTTCTTTTCCCAGTGGTCCATGCCACCCATTCTGACCCCTTCCTGGCTGTCTGGCCTACTCTGCTCCAAGTGTCAAACATGACGACCATGCTCCAGTTCTTCAAGGCCCTGACCCTTGTTCACTGCTGTGTCGCTTTTTCTGTGCCATTTCTCATTGCCTCTTTTTTTTAGATATTGATATTCTTTTCAGATTCCAAGTGTCCATTCAAAAGCCACCCCTCCTACATTTTCCCCAATTTTCAGGCCCTATACCTGTTATTGTTGTTGTTAAATCTTTATTGTTGAAAGTATTACATATGTCCCCCATTTTCCCCCATTGACTTCTCCCAGCCCACCCCCAACCCCACCCTAGGCCTTCACCATCCTATTGACTGTGTCCATGGGTTATACAAGGCCCTACAGTGGTTCTCAACCTTGGCTGCACATTAGAATCATCTGGGAATCTTTTTTAAATCCTGATTTCTGGGCCTCATCCTCCAGAAATTCTGTTTCTTTGTTACTAATGTTGTGGCCTCACCCCATAACAAAGAAACAGAATTTCTGGAGGATGAGGCCCAGAAATCAGGATTTTAAAAAGATTCCCAGGTAATTCTAATGTGCAGCCAAGGTTGAGAACTACTGCCCTACACCTTTTATACATGAATTTATCTAGTACAAAAATTTTCACCTTAATTATCTCATTTAATTGCATTAAGTGGGCGTTAATATTAGTTTCACCTTATAGATGACAAACCCAGAGTTTAGAGATGTATGTGAACTCCTGTGTATTGAAATAAATGGTAGACAACAGGTTGGTTTGGCTCAGTGGTTGAAGCATCAGCCCACACACTGAAGGGTCATGCGTTTGATTTCCAATCAAGGGCACTTACCTGAGTTGCAGGTTCGATCCCAGACCTGGTTGGTACCCGTGCAGGAGGTAACCAGTTGATGTGTCTCTCTCACATAGATGTTTCTCTTTCTCTTTCTCTCTCTCTCTCTCTCT